AGAAAGTTCTCACCCAGCAGCAGGGGCCATGGGGGGCACTTTTTCCCTTGTGGGGGCTCTCAGGACTGAGCCCCCAACCCCGTGCACCACTCCCTTAACCTCTCCTGCTTCATCTCTACCCGGGGCCTTGCTCAGCTTCTCCTAGATTTGGGGAGCCACACGTCGCCCTCTTTGGGAAGTCAGCACTGAGCCTTCTGTTCATTAGCTCAGTCATCTCTTCCAGAGGCTTTCCAGGAGCCTGACTTTGCAGCCAGGCAATGTGAGTGGCAGTCCAGACCCTAGGGGGCCCGGGGCGAGAGCCAGGGAGGCCCATCCCAAACTGGAAAGTGCGCTGAGCGGGGGTAGGCGAAGGCTGAGGGGGCTCAGCACCCAGGTCTTCCGCACACTCAGCCAACACGCCAGGCCCCCAGTTCTGCCCCAGGGGAGTTGCTGGCCACCCTCCCAGAGATGAGGACAGATGTGCTCTGCTGTCCTGACCCCAGCCTTCCTCCTTGCCTGCATTCACAGGCCCTGGGGGGCTAACCCAACTCTCTTGGCTGTGTGGCTAGTGATAAGAATCCAGATCGTTAGCATGTGCGGAGCATCTAGTGCGTCCCAGGCCCTCTGCTAAGCGCTTTTCACTCGTCCTCCCATTTAACCTCGGCAGTAACTCTCTGAGCTGGGCATTAAAGCCCCTCTCCAGATAAGGGCGAGGTGAGCTCAGGTCTAAGAGCGGCTCTCATTCTGCTGCGCGGCTTCCCTGCCCTGACACCCTTCCTGGGGATACCCCAGCCTTCAGCACCCTTCCTTCCCTCTCTTCTCTGGGGCGTCACCCCTGCCCCGAAGCACTTCCTTCTGACTCACCCCATGATCGGAGGCCCTTTCCCCTCTCTCCCTGGCAGTCTGAGCCTGGCACTTGGGCTCAGCCCCAGTCCTGGGCCCGTCGGACCGGCCGTGCTGGGGATCTTTATTCTGCTCCCTCCATCAGCAGGGACTGTCCCGGCTTCTTCCTTCCCACCGTGTCTCATGGGGCACGCTTCATTGCAGGGCCACACCTGGGCAACACTCAAGACTCTCAGTGTCTCCAGCCCAGACACCTCTGTGGACTCTAGACCCATCTCCAGCAACCTTCTGGACCCCGCTTACCTGCACTGATGCCCCCCCATGCCAATTCCCTCCCTCATGCATGTTCAGCAGGCATGCAGTCCAATCCCATCATCTGCTCAAGTTCTGCCCATGTGACCTTCCCTCTCTGGCCTCCAGTCTCACAGATTCTCCCTGGAACCCAGCTCCCTGCCTCCTGGCGGACACCTCGGACCCATCACCCACCCCAAGCCCAGGCCACTGTTTAACTTACGGATCTGCCTTGCCTGCAACTCTTCATGGGTCTTGGAGCCGGCAGCCAGGGTTGTTCAGGTGCCCCATCTGTAAAATGTTGTCGAGCACGTGTCCCCCAATATATATTCACCCATTTACTAATTCTAGACATGTTGCCAGCCTTCAAGATGGCCTCCAATTATTCTCACCTCCCCGCATTCACACCCTTGAGCCATGCCTTCTGCACTGCATGGGGCTGACCCGGGTCACCACGAGGATACTGTGGAAATGATAGAGAGTTAACTCTGAGGGGAACTAATTGTGGCTCTTGTCTTGGACTCCCTGAATCCCTGGCCCTGGGGGGAGGCAGCCGCCCTGTTGTCGGGACACCCAGCAGCCCCACGGGGAGGCCCACATGGTGAGGAGCTGTGGGTGAGTCACTTTGCACTGGGTTCTGCAGCCTTGGTCCAAGTCTTCAAAGGAAAGTAGCCGAGATGACGTCCGGCCTCCAACCACATGAGAGACCCGCCCCAGAACCAAGAGGCTCAGCTCTATCCAGATTCCTGGCCCTCAGGAGCAGAGCGAGATGTTTTAAGTTGCTAGGTTGTGAAGAGACCACCTTGTGGCAACAAGTCACTAACGGGAGTAGAAGTCTGAAGACTAAGGATACAAATGTATATAAGTGACTTGCTAATATTTTCTTGCCACACTCCAAGTGGATGATCTTGTGACCCCCTGGGGTTCACGTTCCCCATGTTGGAGACGCTGAGCTTCCGAATAACATTCCCAGATCAGCAACCTGAGATCCAAGGCTCTCTGGGTGGCCCCCACTACTTCTCAGGTCGTATCTCTTGGACTGCTCTTTCCTCTACCTGGGGTCACTTGCTTGTTACTGCTGATGAAATCCTACCTGCTTTTATAGGCTGACATGATAGAGCTCTGTTCCAGAGCCTTTCTTGATTGTGCAGGAGGTGGGAGTGCCAGGTTCCTGGCCCAGCCTCCCTGGACTGCCCTCCTCATGAGCTCCACAACCCGCAGGGAAGTGTACTCAGAGGGGGTGGGGTCACTCTGTGTGAAGTTTGGTAGGCAGAGCTCTAAGGGTGTCCCCCAAGATCCCATGCTGTCATCCCTGGAACCTGGATATGATGAGCTATCACTCTCATGATTGTGTTATGTTATGGGTAGCTGACCTTATATATGACCATATATAATGTGTGCAGAGATGGCCTTAAGAAAAAATTTTCCAAGTGGACCTAATCTAATCACATGGGCCCCTTTAAAAGCATAGAGGAGGGGCGCCTGGGTGGCTCAGTCGGTTAAGCGTCTGCCTTCGGCTCAGGTCATGATCTCAGGGTCCTGGGATCGAGCCCTGCATCGGGCTCCCTGCTCAGCGGGAAGCCTGCTTCTCCCTCTGCCCCTCCCCCAGCTCATGCTTGTGCTCACTCTCTCTCTGAAATAAATAAATAAAATCTTTACAAAAATAAAAAAAAAGCATAGAGGAAGTCAGATCTGAAGCAGAAGAAAGATTCCACGTGCTGCTGCTGACTTTGAAGATGGAGGGGTCACGTGACAAGGAGCATGGGTGACCCACCGGGGAGGAGGGCAGCCCCTGGCTCACAGCCAGCAAGGAAGGGGGGACCTCAGTCCTACAGCTGCAAGGAACTGGGCTCTGTCAGCCACCTGAACATGTTAGAAGCATGTTCTTTTTCTCCTTTGCCTCCATTAACCAAAACAGTCCTGCCAGCACCTTGATCTCACCAGAGCAGAGGACCCAGTTGGACTGTGTTTTAAGCCACTAAGTTTGTGATACTTAGTTACTCAGCAGTAGAGAATTAACACATGAGGCTCTATATCCCTGAAGACCTTGCATAATTTAAGATATATATTCTCCTTTTTTAAAGTAGGCTCCACGGCCAACATGGGGCTCGAACTCATGACCCTGAGATCAAGAGTCACAGGCCCTACCGACTGAGCCAGCCAGATGCCCCCAAGATATATATCATTAAAGGAATAAATGTAAGGGGTGGGTGAGTTCTCAGCATAAACACACCACCATTGTAGCATAGTTTTCTTTCTGGCTACTTTTTCGTTTCTTCGGACTGTCTCTGGTATTTTGCAGGAGGCTCACTTGTAAATTAGTGGCCCGGTCGGTCAGTGTATCATGTTGTTCGTCTGGCTTTCTTCACGTTGTTTTATCACCTCGGACTGCCATTCTAAAGCTACTGGCTTTGGAGAGCATTTGTCAGCACCGATCTGCATCCTGCTCCCTTATCAGTGGGTTTGGGGTTCGTGGTTACAGGTAAAAACCAGATTTCAGAAACATCGTATTCCAGTGTAACACGCAAACAGAGGGAGGCACAAATCCAAAGTGCACAGCTTTCTTCAGTTTCACAAATGGGACACGCCCATGCAACCGGGGTCCAGATCGAGAAGCGGGGTGTTTCTGTTACCCAGAAGCCCTCTTGTGCTACCTCCCCGTCACTGCTTCTGCAAGAGGAACTACTGTTGTGCCCAAAGCAGCATAGGTTTGTTTGCCTGAATAAACCAGATTGCAAGTGATGATATCAGAGAATGCTAAACTCACAGCCCCACCGTCCCCAAGATGACTGGCCACAGTCCCAGTGCATGCAAACAACAGGGGGCTTTTCAGGACACAGATGAGGGTGTGCCCAGGCCTTTCATATTTCATGCAAGGACCATGTTCCTGAGGTTTCATATACTGTAAAACTCTCATAATAAAGTCTAGTTCTGTCACTGAAATGACTGTAACATAAGGTTTGCACACCTTCTCATGTGGGGCTTAGGCTAATTAACGTCTTTAATATTGCCCAATTTCCAGTTTAGCATAATTCGAACCAACACACTCCTCCCTGAAACCCCCGTGGGGCTGTGAGGGTCTGCGCTTTAGCTTCTCGCGGACCCCAGGGCCCAGCCGAGGTGATGGTATGGGATCCCGGTTCTGGGTGTGGCTTGGGGGACAGAGCACAGGTCCTGGAGTCCGGAGGCTTACATTCTAGTCCTCCGTCTGCTCCTTCCTTGCACTTTACAACCCTGGGTAAACTCTTACCTGCTGGACCTGTTCCCTCATCTGCAAATGGGACTAAACTCTGGGGTTCATGAGAGGAGTTCCCAGATGAGAATCCTTGGGCACACAGTAGGAGCCGATGGGAGCTTGTTGGCACCAGTCCCAGCTGGGGTGGGAAAAAACTGCTCACCTGTCTCTCCCCGCACCACCCCCATGCTGCCTGGAGGACTTTGCTCCCTGGGAGAGTGAAGCCAGCGAGCCCCAAGCCCGAGAGCCTGGCCGCTGAGCCTCCACGGGACTCAGACGCCAGGGTCAGAGCCCGGATTGGGCAAGAGCAGAGTGTGCGGCTCCCTCTTCCTGGCCAGGGATGTTTGGAAACATCAACAATTCTGGGAAATTTAGCAGCAGGAAGTGAAAGGAGGCAGGGTGCATGCTCCCCTGGCCCCTTCTGGCCTGGCTCCCCATCCCAAATCCTGCAGAGATTAGTGGAGTGACTGGCAGGGGCGTAAGGGGGAGGGGGACAGACCAGGAGACTCCCCCTCCCTGGGGGGGAAGCAGGGGCGACCCATCCCCCACTCCCACTCCACACATCCCCTGAGTTCCAAATCCTTTTTCACCTCTGTTTACTGTCCAAAGTCCCGGGCACTGGGGATGCCAGGTTCCGAGTGTTGGGACACACACACACACACACACACGCACACGCACACGCACACGCAGACACAAAGCGCTCAGGGCCCTCGTATGGACCCTGATCCCTCCCCTCCCATCGTCCAGGGCTGTCCGTGCATCTCAAGTCTCCAGGCTACAGCCCCCTTCTTAGCCTAGGATCTGCACAGCATTGAGGGATCCAGGAACCAACCTCAAGACCGTCAGCAAGTAAAAGGGGAAGAAGGGCAGGGGGGGGGGACTGACGGGGGGGGGGGGGGGGGGGGTGCTGGGCGGGAAAACTTCGGAGGAAGAAGTCTGGATGTAGGCCTGGGAGTGAATGGGAGAAAGAAAGTTTTCCTATAGCCACCGGTCACTTAGAAACGGACTGGACCCCACAGCCCGGCTCCGTTGAGCCCCAACCTCAGCCCTAACCCCCGCCTTGTCCCAGGCCCAGGTCCAGCCAACCCTACCATGACAAATGACTATCAAGATTTTCAGCATCTGGACAATGAGGACAATGACTATCAGCTCCGACAGGGTAAGGGGATGCCTCCTCCCGGTTCTGAAAGGTGAGCGTGGGGTGGCTCTTGAACCCTTGCCTCAGCTCCCCCTTCCTCCTGTGACCCCTGACCCTGTCCCCGAGTCTGCCCCACTCACCAGGAGATGGTCTGAGCCGTCCCCTCTTGGGGGAGGTGCCGGCTGTGGGGCTGGAGCCCCTTTCTCTGTGACGGGACTCCCAGGCCTCCGCCGGCCTCCTGAGCCCTGCCTCGACACCCACTGCTCAGGAGCTTGCGGGGGTGGGGGTGCGGATCCAGGGGCCCAGGAGTAACCGGGAGGGGTTAGGTCCCCCCTTCTTCCCTTGAACACCTGCTGAGCCTTGGCCCCGTGTGTCAGTGAGGGTGTATGAGTGTGAGTGCCCTGGGTGCCCGGGGCCATTTGGTCAAGGGGTCAGACTTCGGTGAGGAGGCCAAGGGACCAAGTATCCAAGGAGGATGGGGCCCCCGTCCAAGAGAAACAAGCCCCGCTTCTTTCTCCTGCGAGCAGGGATGTTGTTTGGGCTGAGCAGGAGGGGCCTGGGGGATGGGTGTGGGGGAAGGGCTGCAGGTGGGGGCAACTTGGGGGCCTTTGGCTACTCGGTCTTCTCTCCCTGAGCCCAGCCGGAGCAGTGGGGTTCATGGGGAGAGGAAGAAACCTCCGTCTCTTTCCTCCCCTTTCTGGGGTGGGGTGGGGTGGGGGAAGCAACCCCGTCCCCCCACCCGCTCCTCGTGCTCGGGCTGGCAAGCTCTAGGCTCCAGGAGGCTCATCAGCGTCTGTGACACAGGCCGGACACTAGGTGTCAGCAAAGGCTCAGGGCCCGGGCGGGCTGGGGCGGGGCCAAGCTGGGGGCCCCCCTCCGGCTGCCCCTGGCCGCTCAGGGTCTTCAACCACCCGGATTTCTTAATCCCTACGGTTCTTCCTAGTCCTGGAAAGGAGTCTTAGCCCGCTGTCGTCCAGTGGCCCCAGAGCTGCCCGGGTGCCCCTGTGTCCCTGAGACCGCGATGCCCTCTCTTGCTAGTGGCACCCGCCTCGCAGCCGCTGTTTCGGAGGCTCTGCTCGGGACCCTGCCTCCTCCGGCTCTCCCTGGGCCTCGGCCTCCTGCTGCTGGTGGTTGTCTGTGTCATCGGATCCCAGAGTGGGTGCCCTGGGAGTGGGCTGGGAGGGGAGTCATGCCGGGCGCTGGGGCGGGGGGTGGGGAGGCGTGGGAGAGGGCTGGCTTCTGCGACGGCGGACGCGGCCCCCTCCTTCTGCCCGCTGCACACCGTCTCCCCCGCCCAGACTCCAGGCTTCGGGCGGAGCTGCAGGCCCTGAGAGAGACTTTCAGCAACTTAACAGCGAGCGCGGAGGTCGAGGTCAAGGCCCTGAGCAGCCAGGGTGAGGGGGCCTGGGGCTGGGGCTGGGGTGCCGTGGAACGCTAGGGATGCGGGGGTGGGGGCGCTGAGCAGGTGTCTCCCCCAGGAGGAAGTGTGGGCAGAAAGATGAAGTCGCTGGAGGCCCAGCTGGAGAAACAGCAGCAGGACCTGAGCGAAGGTCAGAGACCCAGCACGTGTGATGCGGGGGTGCCCTCGGGCCAAACCCGGGGGTGTCGCGGCGTGCGTGAGAGACTCCCGCCCCCCGCCCCGCAGATCACTCGGGCCTGCTGTTGCACGTGAAGCAGTTCGTGTCGGACCTGCGAAGCCTGAGCTGTCAGATGGCCGTCCTCTTCCGCAACGGTGAGGAGGCGGCGGGGGCGCGCGCGTGCTCGGCCGCCCCCCTCCCCGCCGGCCGCGCCTCAGCGCCACCGCCCTCCCCTGCCCCCCAGGCACGGCGAGGGCCTGCTGCCCGGTCAACTGGCTGGAGTACGAGGGCAGCTGCTACTGGTTCTCCCGCTCCGGGAAGTCCTGGGCCGAGGCGGACCGGTACTGCCAGCTGGAGAGCGCCCACCTGGTGGTGGTGGGCTCCTGGGAGGAGCAGGTGAGCGCCCGGGAGCTCGCGCGCAGGGGCGGGAGGGGGGGTGGCGGGGCTGGCGGCTCCGGGGAGCGCTCACCACCCCCTCCCCTGTCCCCAGAAATTTGTCCAGCACCATATGGGTCCTGTGAACACCTGGATGGGCCTCACAGACCAGAGTGGGCTCTGGAAGTGGGTGGACGGGACGGACTACGAGACGGGCTTCAAGTGAGTGTGCGCGCCCCCCGTGGCCCCGGGGCTCCGCTGGAGGGGGCTGGGGGGGTGCGGGCGCACATCCGCTCGTCTCCGCAGGAACTGGAGGCCCGAGCAGCCGGACGACTGGTACGGGCACGGGCTCGGGGGAGGCGAGGACTGCGCGCACTTCACCGAAGACGGCCGCTGGAACGACGACGTGTGCCAGAGACCCTACCGCTGGGTGTGCGAGACAGCGCGCGAGCCGGCCAGCTAGGAGCCTCCTCTTCCGTAATTTATTTCCTCGGTGCCTCCACCTGCCCTGTGACCCTCCCGTCGCGGGGGGTGCTCCTCCACCGTCTCGGGGATGGCTGATCCAGGGTTTTAAGGGAAGGGGAAAGACGCTGTCTGAGGAACGTACAATCACGTTTGGAGGGGCGGGGAGATCGAAACCCCTGTCACCTGCCGCAGCCTGCAGGGTATGGTCATCTTTTTTAGAGTAAAAAGACCAGAAATACTCTAAACGTGCCATGCGTTGTCTGGTTATTGGGCATTAGGAATCAGGAGTGGGCTGGTTGGTGGGAAGCCTGGGGCAGGCCGCGGGGCCTGGTGAGAACCCCATGGGCTTTGGTGCTTACAGGGATGGGAGTTAGGGCTCCTGTTCGGAGTCTCCCCGGTAAAGGTGTCCTGTTGCTGGGGACCGCTGCACCTGCAGCAGTCCCCCTAGGACCAGAGTCACCCCGATGTGTCCAGTGCTTCAGAGGCTTTGAATGAAACTCACTGGTGTCTGCTGTGTGCATTACAGTGGACAGAGGCAGTATCCACAGACAGGCAACAAATACAGTGAATGTGAAGATGAGCCTACCACCGAGAACCACTAAACCTGCAAAGAAAGCCAGAAAACCAGGAGCGAGGCAGAGAAGCCCCCAAATAAACAGAATCCACAATCCAGGATGGGAGTTCACAGAAGGAACAGATTAAGACTTTGCAGACACTCACTGGATTCAGCAAACATTGAATCAACACAAAAGTAGAGACAGAGACAGATCTATGAGCATATGAAGGGCTCACCATCTTTCCGGATAACTTTGAGTATAAGAGGAAATAAAAGTGAAGCAGTCAGGTAATTGAGAAATGAACAAGCAAGCACTACATACTGAGATTGTGGGACGGTCTAAAGCAGTTCTCAGGAGGAAAGGTATATAGACTGAAGCACATTTGTTAAAAAACAAGGTTGAATGGAAATAAGCTAAGTTTCAACTCAAGGGACTTGAAAAAGAATAAAACCCTTCAGAATAGAAAGCAGGGATTTATTAACAAATCATCAACCACAGGGTATGTATTCTATTCGAATACACTGGGACATCTGAAAAAAAATTGAGCAAGTACTGGGCCATCAAGTGAGTTTTAACAAATTTTGAATAGAGAATTTGCACTATAAGGACCAGAAAGATAAAATTCCTATAAAAATCATTAGCAAACCCGATCAAATGATGTAGTAAAAAGATAACATGTTGGGGAGGCTGGGTGGTTCAGTTGGTTAAGCGTCTGACTCTTAATTTCAGCTCAGATCATGATCTTGGGGTCATGAGATCAAGCCCCACATCAGGCTCTTTGCTCAGTGGGGAGTCTGCTTGAGATTCTCTCCCCTTCCCTCCTGCCCCTCCCCCCAATAAATAAATAGGAGCGCCTGGTTGGCTCAGTTAGTTAAGCGGCTGCCTTCGACTCAGGTCACGATCCCGGGGTCCTGGGATCGAGCCCCGCATCGGGCTCCCTGCTCCACGGGAAGCCTGCTTCTCCCTCTGACCCTACCCCCTCTTGTGCTCTCTCTCTCTCACTCTCTCTCTCAAATAAATAAAAAATAAAACAAAAACAAAAAAACATGTTTGTCAAAGAAAGAAAAATATCAAATGATTTCACTCATATGTAGAATTTAGAAATGGAACAAATGAGCAAAGGGAAAACAAAAAGAGACAAACCAAGAACCAGACTCTGAACTTTAGAGAAGAAACTGATAGTCACATGGGGTTGGGGGTGGGCGGGGTGGGCGGGAATGTGTGAAACAGGTGTTGGGGATTAAGGAGGGCACTTGTGATGAGCACCAGGTGTTGTATGGAAGAGATGAATCGCTAAATTCTACACCTGAGACTAATACTGTACTATATGTTAACTAGCTAGAATTTAAATAAAAACCTGGAAAAAGAAAAAAGAATTAAGAGATGGTTTAAAAGAAAAATCTATTAATAAAATAGACTTGGGAGTACAGAAGACCAATGGAGTACAAAAGAAAAAAATTGCATAATGTGGAAAAAGCACTTGGCAACCTTTTTTAGGACCTCAGTTACTTTTTGTTGAGCTACAATTTCACTCTATAGATTCCGTCAGTCTTTCAAGATGTCTGCCCCGCTCCAGCCATGACACCTTTCAGGCAAGAGAAAGGAGAAGAGTCAGAGAAAAAAGTACCTCTCTGTGAGGACACTTCTGGAAGCAGTATGCACTTCAGCTTGCATCTCTTCGGTGAGAACTGGTCCCAAGGCAACAGCCCCAAATGGGGCTGAGAAGTGGACTCTATATTCCGGGGGGTCAGATTTCAGCTAAAAGCAAGGGGATTTTACTGATGTGGTGCAGGAGTCAGCAAACGGTGGCCCTCACATGTTTTTGTAAATTAAGGTAAACACCTTATTTATTTATTTGACAGAGAGAGAGAGCAAGCGAGCGAACACAAGCAAGGGGAGCAGGAGAGGGAGAAGCAGACTCCCCACTGAGCACGGAGCCGGACTGGGGGCTCTATCCCAGGACCCTGGGATCATGACCTGAGCCGAAGGCAGACGCTTCACTGACTGAGCCACTCAGGCGCCCCTGTAAATAAAGGTGTTTTGTTTTTGTTTTTTTTTGGCGACTCCACTGGGACTCGAATGTAAATAAAGTTTTATTGGAACATGCCATGCTCATTTGTTTACATACTGCTTGTGACTGCTTTCAGGCTAGAGGTAGAACTGAGTAGTTAGGACAAAGCCAGCAAAGCCAAAAATATTTGCTGTCTGACTCTTTGCAGAAAACGTTTGCTGACTCCTGGTGTACCGTAAAGGGGAGACTGCGGATTGGGGTCAATTAGAAGTTTATGCCCCATTATTATTAGTGCTGTTGTTTACAACCATCAGGGGATCCTGGCCAAACTGCAGAAAGCAGGAAAATGCATTGGAGGTGTAAGTATTGGAAAGGAAGAGATAACACAACACGATCATTTTACCCGGAAAGTCAACACCATCAACAAACAATTAGACCTAACAAGAAGCTTTGGCAGGTGCATTGGTCAGCTATCAACACTTTAATCTACAAAGAATATACAAGACAAAAATAAAATTCTTTCCAAGTTAATATGTATATTCCGTGCAATAACATACACATTTCAGTTGGATTTGTAAAAGCAACCTAATCTTTTTCAAAAATATAGAAAGAGGGGGTGTAGAGATTACTTAAAATATAAATAAAAAAATATATATAGAGAGAAAGATTAAAGTCAATTTGGGGAAAAAAGGAAGCAAAAATCAGGAGAAAGGGAAACCAGACTTACCAGACATTAGAACATATTACAAAGGCATAGTCGTAAAAACAATATGGTTTTTAAAACAGACCAGTGGTATGGAAGATGGAGCTCAGAGACAGAATATGCACAAATTAGAACTTAATATACAGTAAATGGACACCTCAAATTGGTGGAGGAAGGGTGCTGGGAAAGCTGGTTTTCCATACGAAGGGAAAAAAATCCGTGTCTTGATGTAGGAAAGACGTTAAGTTTCAAAGCTGACGCCCAAGAAAGAATTCTTGAGATTTCTTTGGCGCAAAAAGTGGTTTTATTAAAGCACGGGGCCGGGACCCATGGGCAGAAAAGAGCTGCACCAGGGTCATGAGGAGTGTCCCATTATATACTTTCAAGTTGGGAGCGGGCTAGGGGTAGTGTAAGTCTCTAAGGAATTTGGACTCAAGGTTTCCAGGACCCTGAGGGGGCTAGCTATTGTTGGGAAAAGGTCATTTATGACCGTCTCATAAAACCTGAGTCATGAGACCCTTCAGATGTCTATCGGTGGGTCATATGCTTGGGGGGTGATTGCCAAGTTGTATCCTGGGGGGTAGAGATAAATGAAGTTTCCAAAGGAATTTTTATATGTTAAAGTAGACTTACAAGATCCTGGGGGTTGGGCTAAGATTGTCTTTTGCCCTTAGCAAAGTGTCAACATCGGGGCGGCTGAGTCCCCAGAGGAATGTCACTCTGCCTGTTTTAAGACTTGTCAATGGGCTGTAAATAGTAAGGAAATTTAATAATTTTTTCTTCTGCCTTTGTTTCCCCACTCATCATACCTAAAATCACATACAGAGGTGGATGCTGGATAGATTCAAGACCTAAACAGAAAAAAGTACAGTACAGAAGTAATAAAAGAAAAAAAGAAAAAAAAAGGATAGTCTTGTTATCTAGGGGTACACAAGGATGTCATAAATAAGACCTCTAAAGCAAATACCCAAAAGCCAAAAAAATTGTAGCGAAATTGACTGCATGAAAATGAAAAATTTCAGCTCAGTGACGGTGTATCAGGTACCCAGCAAGAAACAGACAGCATACATGAAATGGGTAATTGGAGGATTTTTTTTTTTTAAAGATTTTATCCATTTATTTGCCAAAGAGAGAGAGAGTGAGCACAAGCAGGGGGAGCAGCAGGCAAGGGAGAAGCAGGCTCCCCGCCGAGCAAGCCCCCCCTCCCCCCATGCAGGACTCCATCCCAGGACCCTGGGATCATGACCCGAGCCAAAGGCAGACGCTCAAAGGACTGAGCCACCTAGGCGTCCTGGAGGATTTTTTTTTTTAAGATTTCATTTTTAAGTGATCTCTAATCTCTACACCCAACATGGGGTTCGAACCCACAACCCTGAGATCAAGAGTTGCACGCTCCATGACCGAGCCAGCCAGGTGCCCCTGGAGGATGTTTTAATAAACGAATGATTTACGAAAGGATGAGCAAGATTAGGGAAGCCACAAGAAATAGGGCAGGGACCCAGGTATCCCACAGTGGGGAGTTGTTAGCACCTCCAGGAACCCAAGAAGAGAGAAAGCTGCCTGGAGAGACCCCCCCCTTTCCCCCAACAGGAGCTGCGTTTGTCAGTCCATTGTGACTTTTGGTTGCCGGAGGCAGCTACTTCCCAGCTGGTTGGCAGGGAAGGACCTGGAGGAGTCAATATCCTCACTTCCCCCCTCTTCCTGTCTCAGATTTCCGCTGCCACCAGAAGCCAGGTGGCAAGGGA